GCCACGTTTTCAGTTGGGCCGGGTGCGCTGGGGCCACCCACCAAATTCGGTATATCCTCTCTCTCTCTCTCTCTCGGGTGCTACGAGTTGCATGTGAAAGTGCTGCTACTACAAAACGAGGCGAATCCGCAGTTGTCAAATCGTGGCAAAGGCGCAAAGCCATCTTTGCGCAAAAAAGATACACACACGCCCACAACGCACCATACGTGTCCCGTCGTGGCATGCCACTTCGTCGTTTCTGGCCACGGCAGGCCGCGCAGAGCATTGCCCAGACGAAGCATAAAGGCAGCGCAACAGCCGAAAGTTGTTCCCGCGTGTTAGCTTTTGCTGATTGTCGTGTACTACACTGTGCAACGTGGCTGTGTTTTTTTTTCTGTCCGGGGCTGTTTTGTTAGAGCATCTCCAGCTGTTCGCCCCCAGAGGCTTGAAATAGCGCCGCTTGGGGAAAATCGGCGATAAATTCGGTGCGGGCAATCGGTTTTCCAGCCACAGCCCCAGACACCGTTTTTTAAAAAAGAAAATCGGCCAAACACAACACAAATTCGTTCAAACTAGGCGATTTTATTCATATTTGTACAAAAAAAACACAAATTAAAAAAAATAACTACGCCTAGCACTACTACGCCGCCGCCTCCCGCCCACTACTAGGGAAAACCCTAGCAGTAGCGTGTGTTTAAAGCATATCAGTAGCGCGGGGAACAGCGCTACTAGTAAGGCGCTACAACTAAAAGTTAGCAGTAGCGTGTGTCGGACCACACTACTGCTATATCGACTTAGTAGCAGCGCTTTCCACTAGGAGCGCTACTGGTAATTAGTAGTAGCACCTCTCCCATCACGCGTTACTACTATTATTTCGTATTTCTTTTTTATTTTGTGTTGTATTCATACACCTTTATACAAGTTCTCATACTGCAGCAATTTAGAGAATGTTTTTACATCATAATGAGTTATTACATCACTGCGAGAAAGAACCGTGGACTAATTTCAAGTGGATGGACATCCACTTGAAACTAATGCGCGGTTCTTTCACCCAATGATATAATAAATATCATCATCATCATCATCATATCATTAACAACTTATCATGATAATACATCATTGTCATATAACACCTCCTCATGATCATCATTTTCATCAATGAGACATCACATACAAGTTGGTCACTAGACATAATCACAACTAGTCCTCATCATCAACTCTCATAAACATATTGCACCTCATAGAACCTACTACATTCTCTTAGGACCTACTATATTATCTTAGGTAAAATAGCATAAAACAAGATAGCCCCTGACTCTCCATTATGGAGAATGGAGATTATCCTGTCTCCAATTCTTTCCTTTTGCACAATGTTGCTTCCAAGAACCTCCTTACGACTGTCCATACATTTTTTCCATTCTTTGATTATTATGTGTTCACCGGTTTTAGAAATCCGGCATGGACAGGTGAGATTCGTAGGACGACCTGTCTGTATGTTCAAAACATCAAGGCGACAATTCTGATACATCAAATGAGGCACACAATCCATCGGGATTTTCTGTTGAAAAACATAGTAATAATTTCGTAGGAGTATGCAAAAGATACACGGATGTCGTAATAGTAAAAAATCTTACCAGGATATCTTCATGAAAGTTATCGTGGTTCAACACGTGCACTAGTGGCACGTATTGACCATAATCTGGAGTTCGATAAAAGGCATTGTAATTCTCAATTTCAGTACAATATCCGACCAGATGATTTTTCTCCTGATAAGTTAACTCAAAGCCATCGGTGTAGTTGGTTCTGTCTATCATCTTCCGCACATTCTTTGAAAAATGAAAATAAGCTATCAATGGAAATAAGTTGTCAACTATTTTAAAATAAACAATATAAATTACTTAATAACTATGTTTGAGGAACTCACATAGCAGTAGAATTGGAAGCGTATCAACAAAGACCCAAATGTCTAAATTGTCTTGGTCGATGTTAGGATCACCAAGATCCATGGTGACAAACATACCCTCTTGAAAATCATACATCTTGCAAAGTGCTTCCCAACCCGGGCAACCAAAATGGGTTACGCTCTCAGGATTGTATAGATTTACCTCAAAATCCATACCATGATGGGTCCTTGGGTTAATTTTCTTTGCTTCATTCCTCTCATGATCTTCAAGACCCATCCTCTCCAAGACATAGCGTCTTGCATGGCATGGGATAAGCTAGTCGAATTGTAAAAGACAAAAATTACACGTTGAAGTAGTAGAAGTCGAGCTTAATTACGAAAAAACACTTTGCGTCGTAGCGTACCGTTTCACAATCGAAGGTCTCCTAGAGCTTAATGCTGAAGCGCCGACCTTCGTCCAGGTGAGGCCCGTCGCAGAAACCCCAGTTGTCGCCGCACCAGGAGCACTCCCCCGAGACCTTCTTCGTCCGACGACATTTCCTATGTTCATAATTCAAAGATTAAACTTGTACAATTAAATATATGTACTACAAAAAAAATTAGATCATTATTATTCATCACGGGTTGACTATCGGTCTGTCAAGTCTTTTCTTGAAAACTCTCAGCTCACGTGGTGTATATATTCAACGTCGGTGATGGTAGCTCCTTCTTTCTTTTCCGAGTGCATTACACCAAATTTTCTAGCACATGGGAACGAAGGAGAAGCTACCCCATGACAACAGTCGGGATTCTTCGTCCTCTCATATATGATGGAGACTCTTCCTCACTGATTCCACTCTGACATTTGCGACCGTCGGTGATGGTCGTTACTCCTCCTTCCCCCAGTGCATAACAAAGGTATAGCACCCGGAGAAGAAGGAGAAACGACCCCCACAACAACAGTCGGGATTCTTCGGCCTCGACAGACTTAAAGTCAACCCAAAATATCGTTTAATTATCTTTCTAGAAAATCCGGGTCACTCAATATTTCCTACATATTCTAGCACAAGTCATGCCAAAATTCATGAAAAATTCCAGCATGACCTTTGCTAAAACAGGACATATCGAGCGCCTGAAATTTGCCGGGACGGAAATTAATCAACACTCCGGCAAAACATAGGCCACTCGGAGGTGTAACCTGCAAACATGACCGGCCACTTGAGCAACCACATATCCTATTTGAGCAACACAAGATATACATGTTTTTATCTACATCATAAATTATAGGACTCATATTGACATGGAGATTTGGCTGGTCTCACCTCGAGGTCGGAAGGGGTCAGTGACGGGGACGACGGCGGGGATGATGGAGGGGCTCCTTGATTTCTGCAAAAACAAAAACCCTATAAGTTATCACTAATACATCCCGAATAGTATCATACATATAACATCACTAATACAACTAAGACCCTAGCGAACGACGGATATCGACGACAAGGATGCGGGATAGGCATCGTCGACGTCGATGCGGGAATAATTGCTTAAACTAAAAAAATAACAACAAATGTGACATGTTCAACTAGTTCTATTACTTCAACTAGTTCTTACTAAAAATAAACTTACTATAAATAAAAATAAACTAGTTCTTTCTAAAAATAAACTAGTCTAAAAATAGTAAAAAAACTAGTTCTTACTAAAAATAAACTAGTTCAACTAGTTTTATTAATTTACTTACTAATTATTTTAAACACTTACTAAAAACAGTAAAAAAAACTACATTATACAATAGTAAAAAACTACAGTAAAGATAGAAAAAAAAGAGATGGAAGGAGTAGGGGAAGGGAGGAGGAAGGAGAGGGGAGGTGGGGGAGGAGGCC